AAACTGATAAACAAATACGCACAAAAACACACATACAGTACAGTGCATACTGCTTTCATCTTTATCTCTCTCTCCCTCCATTCTCCGCTGATACCATTCATTCTCACACTGAGATGTACACAAAAATGTGCACATGCATACCAGCCCCCAACCTGCATCCACCATCTGGCCTTCCCAAAGCTCAGATGTCTCTGGGGTAGGGTGAACTGTGAGAGAGAGGGAGTGAGAGTGTGTGTGTGTGTGTGTGTGTGTGTGTGTGAGAGAGAGAGAGAAAGAGCAGGAGAAACAGAGAGTGGGGAGCCAGTGATCATATTAGCCAGGAGAAAATACGCGCTATGCATTGTACTGCAATATGTGAAAAAAAAAAAAAACATACAAAACCTGCACAGACCACAGATTCTTTGCCTGCATGCAAGCACAATACTTTTCACAGAAGAGGCAGCACAACACATTTACAGCACTACAGGTACATGAGCTGCAGGCAGGGGTTTGCACTGGGGGTCGTCATAGCTGACTAGGCTGCGTAAGCACACCTTAACATCGAGTAGTCTTTTCACTGTGGGCAAAATAAAGGCTCCATTATGGGAGGAGGCCATGTCTGCTGCCCCTGCCAGCTATAATGGCTTTAGCAGTGTACTGACGACACAGGCATCCAAACGTACAATACACACACGGTGGTACAAAACGAGTGGAAAATTGATTTCTACTTCAGGTGGTCCCAGGTCAGCGGTAGTGCCTAGGGCCAAAATACACTTGTACACTCATGTGAGCACACACACACACACACACACACACACACACAGTCTTTCACATCCTCAACCCACAGACCTATGTTATTCTTATATTTTCATTCTTCTCTTTTCTCACCATTTCAAATGAGAGAGAGGAGGAAAGGCGCAATCTTACATTCACATCCATTAGAGACTCAACAGCAGAGCAGCACAGAATTCTTAACTCCGCACTACACTAGCCTCACAAAGCCAGTCTAGCTCACTACAAGCTCAGTATTTGGTGCAAGGTTTAAGTCTGGGAAACAACTGAGAATCAGTTGAGCCTGACCAGACATAATGGACCAACATGAGAGCCTGCAGTGTGTTGTTCATCCCTTTCCAAAAAAAAAAAAAAAAATCAAATAAAGCATTATTTTGTATCTACACGGCCTATTCTTGCTTCAGACTGATTTTGATGGATATTACAGGTGAAATCCTCCTGTTGACGTGAAACAAAAACCAGCGCCAGCCCAGTTTGTGATCCGTGTAATTGCTGATGTCTAGGTGAAGCAGAGAACTACCAATCATCAACAGGACTGTACGCCCTCCTCAAGCAGACACCTGACTCAAGGAAAGGTCTCACGAGCCTTTCCAAAAATCACGACTCGCAGCAGCAACAATTGTGGTCTGTCAAAAGCTGGACGCTATCTTCGCCAGGCTACTACTCCACTCAAAAGTCAGTTTTAGCTCAACTCCAGTAGCTTCACTGCTCTTAGAAAGAGAGCTCACTGAGGGAATAGTAATAATATCAATAATATGATACTTTCTGAATCCCAGGAGGCAGATGCTGACCTCACTCAGCGGTGAGGTCAGCACAGTGGGTCAGCTATCACACATTATCACACCGAGATGAGTCAGTGTCTTGCTCAAGAACACTTCAGCAAAGCGGTCAGTTGCGGAGACAGGGGCTGGAAGATGCTCCATCCTCTAACCGCACTGATGCTTCTGTTTTTTTTTTGCACATCAGCAGTACGTAGTTCTGATCTCCGTAAGTATTACTTTATAATTGTTGTTAATTCAAGCAACAGTATTCTCTATTCCATCAACTTGGCCCCTGAAGGATGAGGCATTACCGCAAGAGAGTACAAGTACTTAACAAACCATCCTTAGGGACTGGTAACAGCACATTACTAATGTTCTCTTATCATACTCATACTGGATGCTGCTGCTGCTTTGCCCCTGTTGCTGCATGGCTCAGGTGTCTACTGTATGTCAGATAACTGAGGCAGCCCAGTGTTTGCTTACTTCCACAGCCTTGTTCAATTGCAGGCTGCTCATCTGTAAAACATGCGTACTATATCTTTTTTTTTTTTTTTTTTTTTTTTTTTTTTGAAACTCGCAGACCTCCCTCCTGTCTCCCTCATCTTTTTATCTCCTTCGATCTCCGTCTATCTTTCAACCGCTGTTTCATCCCCCGTCCCTTCGTTCCTCCTCCCTCCACCACCCTGTTCCAGGCCGTTAAAAGAGCGGGCTTATCTAAGCCTAATTGGTTTAAGGGCAAACAGAAATAAGCAGTGGCTCTGTAAGTAGGGGAGAATTACTGCTGCTGTTGGCGAGAAGCATCCGCACACCACGGAGAGAGAGAGGGAGACAGAGAGAGAGAGAGCGAGAGAGAGCGAGCAGAAGAAGTGAGGAGAGAGACAAGAGGGGCGAATGGAGAGATTAGTGAAGAGAATTATGGAAGACAGAGTGGGATAGAGAAATGAGGGGGAGAAAGGGAGGTGTAGATGAAAGTGGGCAGAGAAAAAGGTGAAGAGGATAGGGAGAAATGGAGAGAGAAGACAAATGAGGGTGAAACAGAGCAGTGCACATGCTTCTTTTTCTAATAGCATGCAAATCCCCATCTTCACTCTCCTCTCTGTTAGCCCTCTGCTATGGGTCTGACTGCGCCTCCACCCCTCCTCAATAACTTGTCAGTGAATGCATTTCTGGTTGCTGCCATCATGTCTTCATGTGTGTGGGATTGCATGTGTGCATGTGTGCATGTGTGTGTGTGTGTGTCTCTGTCTAGACCTTGAATCCAACACATTCAAAGTTCTATAATCAACTTCACACTCGATTTAACTGTTCTGGTCCTTCATCACACCTCGCAGAGACACAAAAACACACCACTTTACACTGTAACACACACACACACACATAGACACACACATAGACACACACCCTTTCAATTCTCAATCTCATTTGCTATTCTCCCATCTATCCATCCTTTCCTGCTTGCCTCCTTATGATTTCCATTCCATAGTTACTCAGTTCATTAATGGTGTGTGTGCATGCGTGCGTGCGTGCGTGCGCGCGTAGTGTTTACTGTAAGTGTGTGCATATGTAGACAGGTCTAATAATTCATTCAATTCATCGCAACTACGTGTCCATATGGTCAGGGCTGCTCCTTACTCTAAAGTTACCAACACAGGTCCACACACACATACACACACACACACACACACACACACACACACACACACACACACACACACACACACACAGATCTCTGACACTTTGTGGCTGATTTGGACTTCTAATCAGATTAAGGGTGACTGGAAGGCAGGGATAATGTGGTCTATGGCTCCACTCTCTCCCACACACACCCACACACAAACACACACACAACAACAAAAAAAAAAAAAAGAATGAAAAAAAATGAAAGAGCAACAGATTGGAGTTCAGATCAGTGAAGATTTTAACCTGCCCATGGGACAACCTCCTTTCAATTAGCGACCCAAACAAGGAAATCACTTTCATCCTTGTTACTGAGGTAACCCAGGGGCCATCTCCCTACCCATCTGTTTCTTTCTCATCCCATCTTTTAAAGTAGAAATCCCACACCCCTTTCCAAGCAGAGGGAAATTTCCCTCCTCCCTACCCCCTCCTCCACTCATCTCTCTGAATTGACATTTCTGCTGTCATTTCACATCGGGTAAACATTTGAACCTGAAAATATCCACCCTCAAAGAGGTAGCAATTTGGGCCTGGGCTTGGTATCCATAGCTGTGTTGAAATCTGATGAGCACAAACAAGAAAGCCACCACGGAATTACAGAGCACAGCCTGAGCTGGGAACAGTCCAGGAGCAGAGTTGTAAATGATTAAAGAGAAAAGCTGCATGTGAGAAAACTCATTTTATTTGTGCTTCTAATTTACTTATTTATGCTTTTGGGGGTGGATACAGGCAGCCGCGGGGAAGCTGGTGTGTTCCTGTGTATGCTTTATTGGTGAGGATGAGCTACTGTACAATAAAATAAGAGAAGACACTGTGGTGCTGCTGGGATATCTATCCAGCAGCTAATGTCTGAGGCTACAGCCCAGTGTTCGGTCCCCAGGGGCCCTCAGCGGAAATGAAAAACATGTTTAACTGAGGAGATATTAGCTACTGGTGGCACCACTGCTTGTCCAGATGGGTGTGTGAGAGGGGGAAAAAAAAGGAGGAAATAAAGACAAAGACAGAAAGAATGAAATGGGGATGGATGAAGAGAAAAAAAATACAGGGACAGTCTGAGAAAAGGGGAGAGGCAGCCCAGTGGGTTTTTCTTTCTTTTCATCGAGTTGTTGATTTCTAAAAGTGAGAAATTTACCCCAGAATAAAATCCAGGTCACATGGATATTTACAGTCAGCACAATCCACAATCTCAAGAGTTTGTCTCTGCAATTCAAAAAGCTACAGACTGATGCTCTGGGGCTTGTGGTAATGGTATTTCATATGTACAATTTAATGAGAAAACGTGACAGGAATCATTGCAGGTGTGACAGGCGCTTACAATGTAGCCTTCGTTTCCTACTGAGGAAAACTAATTTCTCATGGGATAGTCACAATTTAAAACATTAGCCTACAGTTTAAGGAGGAGACTCCTCCTGTCCTGCACGCTGCCGCGAAGAACAAGGAAGACTAAAGAGTGGGAAAACATGCTTATACAGCCACCAATAAACTACCGTAAGCAATTAAAAACCGCATTTCAGAATCAGATTCAAATGGGACAAAGTGTCACTCTTCGCGTGGACGGGCAGCATCAGTGACAAGCAGCGGAGCGGGAGGACTGCCGCTCCGACATAAAGGGATAGCCACGGCAATCTGCTGCGATCCACGTGCATGTCATCCCTGTATCTCTAATGCCAGTGGCGGAGCGCTGCCCAACACAAAAACGTTGCCAGCATCCCCCAAGGTGCCGAGCGCGTCTTGGAGAGGAGAGCATTTATCCAAATCTACAACAAAGTATGATCCCAATTTCTCATTTACCTTCCATCGCAGAGGATGTGATGACCAGCACGCATAAAAGCGCAAACAAATCCACTGTCATGGCAGAAGGGTAGTCTCCACAGCGTGTCCCCAAATAACCAAGACGCACGGCGCGCGTCAAAAGAATCCCTCAGTTGTCAGAGCGGTACTCCACCAGATAGCCTGAGTTGTGAGTCACATTTCAAGCCGTAGTAAACAATGTGTGACAATCAGCGCAGGGGAAGAGCGGAGTGTAGGGACTGAGGGGGTGCGAGGAGCAAAGGGGGCGGGGGTGGTGGTGGGGTTGTGGAGGAGAGGAGAGGGGGGGGGGACCCTACATTGCCTGCTCACGGCCCCGGTGGAGCGCCGGGGCCAATCACCGACCGGGAGCTGAAACTCACTAACCAATCGACAGCCCGCCGCTCCGCCCACCACGCATTGTCAAAACACAAAACTTTTCCTTGACCTATTTGAAGCGGCGTCCGCTGCACTGAAGGGAAATAGCGCCACCAGTCGGGTTACGGCAGCTACTGCACCCCCTTGGTTTAAAAAAAAAAAAAAAAAAAAAAAAAAAAAAACCTAGAGCCAAGCCTTAACCCCCATGGGAGACGATCTAAACGGCTGTACACTTTGTTGAGTGGTCTGTCAGCCTGTGCTTCAAAAATAATCCTGCTGTTCAACCATTTATCAGACTCAGTGATGTCTCTTATGGCTATCCTCACATCCCCTCTGTGTTCTACACAGAACATCATCTTGACTAAGGACATTTTTCATTTATAAGAATCACAAGGATCTTTTACTCAACAAGATTAAAAAGCTAGTTGATTTTCACCCTGTGAAGAAAGAGCAGTCTGACGGTTCATATGCCAAGTCTCAGACTTCTGGACCCCTCATTTCAACGTAACATACAAAAATGTATTTCAACATACATTTTCAAAAAATGTCCATTGATTGTACATTTTTTGGAAAAGTGTCAAATAGCCTTGTCTGGCAACCTCACTCTCTGATTATGCTCCACACAAGTGCACAGACCCCATTTACAATCAAGATGTTCTTTAACACCATTAGAAAATTCAGCTGCACCTCGTAATGATATTAAACAGGCGTTGCACATCAGCTCCCACCCTTTGCCCCTCTCACCCCTTTTGTCTGCACGTGTGTCGCAACAGATGGTACACACAATGAGCCTTTCCCCCGCAGGGACACAGAGAACCAGGGTCTGCCGCAGCAGAGGAAGGGGGCAGTTGCCACCCTGTAGCCCAGAACCATACACCTGTCTTGGGCTAGATATGTCCCCCAAGTCCCCCGGGCAGAAGATGTGGGATGGGGTTGTTAATCTACAGCCTGAGTAGGCCTGGTTTTACCCCGGGCCACTGGATGGCCTAATACTTCAGTGCTGTCCCTTCACAGCACACTGGCCCAGATACTTTTTACCTGCTTTACTTTTTATGAACTTAATGAATGGATTGAAAAGTAGGGTTTTCAAAAATATTGTGTAGCTTATGAACTTAACACCTATGTTACACTGTATAGCTATTTTGTGTTGACCCTAAAGAGGCCAGCTTCTTTTTTTTTCCCCACCAAGACTGAACTGTTTTCACCACATCTATCTCTTGTGCCCCTTTGCGATTCAACTACTAACCTTTACAATGACAAAACTCAAACACATTGTAAATGAAAAGTGACTCACACTTAATAAATGGTTGTTCCAATTGTGGCAAAGGCCAGCAGATGAACTGGGGCAGACACAGTGGTTCAGGAGCATCAGGCAGCGGTTGCTAACTTGGGAAAGCAGTTGATGAGAGCATTTGTCATTTTTAATGGTGTGGTGAGGAGTGGCGCTATAGTTTGACATGGCGCAGCACAGCGTGGCCCCTGGTGCTGGCTGGTTTGTAGGCCTCTCATAGCCACCTGGCCTTATTTGTCACCAGGCCAGTCATCATCACCTATGACTGCACAGGTCATCTCCAAATACAGGAGCAGCACAGAGCAATCTGTCCCTGTTTGCTGTCCACACCCCGGGGGGGTGGGGTGGGGGGGGCGAGAGAGAGGAAGGAAGGAAGAGTATGAGGGGTTGCAGGGACAATGGTGCTGCTGCTTTAGCACATCCTGCCTTACAATGCACGCATAGACAAACACACGCATACAATAACACAAATGTGTGTGCAGTCGCTCACCCACACAACACTCTGATAATGATCCACACAAAGCCACACAAGCACTTGCCTACTTCAGCTCAAGAGCCTCAGCCCAATACCAATACTGAGTCCAAACACATTGTAGAGAGCCTCTCATTCTCTCTGTGGCCTGATTTTCTTTTTTTCTGTGTGGTTAAGCCTACAAGTGCAGCATCCCAGATCTATTTTCTTTTCTTCATTCCTCCATTTCTCCCTTTGTCAATTCAAGACCAGATTCAAAACAAAATAAAAATGCAACCTCACCAAGTGGGTACTCTGGGACTTGTGATTGATTAAATGTTTTTCCATTCTCTGGATTCTGTGAGCTGACCCTAAATTTATAGTGATTTTGACCTGTAAACATCCAGCCAGCATCGGCCTCTCCATGACCAATGTGCCATGACCTTTACATTTCTCCTCTCTGTCTCCTGTTTCCTAATTCCTGTTTGGTTGCTGGAAAAAAAATCACAGTTGTTCTGTTTTTTTTTTTTTTGGTTGTTTTCCTTTTTTTTTGATGGAGTCAGGCAGGAAATACAAAATGGTGTGTAGCTCATTCTGTACACTGACAACAACATTAAGAACAACAGAGAATAGCCTCCATACACAAGTGCAGACTTTACCGGGATGCACACTCATTATTTAGATTTGCGATACAGGAGTGCGGATGAGAGGTATTGTCGGTGACAAGCAGACATACGCACTAGAAGGAGGTGGATGATTATAACGAAACAGTAATATGGGAAAAAGAGAGCGCTCTCTTTCCAAGAGAGCGCGGAAGCTGGGAAGGTTTGTCTGGTGATGAATATGAATGCATGAAAATGAAATGCCTAAGTCAATATGGAGACAGCGCAGGGACCCAGGTGACAGAGCAGTGTAGTGCTACACCCACCCTGGGGGGATAGAATGGTTATTACGCTGGGCTTTCGCCTCATCCATCGTCACAAGTCTGGGTGCAGGCCAGGCCATTGACAATATGAGTACAGAGCTAGGGCTGAATACAGATGTGCTCTGGACCAGTGTTCCCCAAATAGAGGGTCAGGACTCACTAGTGAGTCCCAGCCACTGTTGTACTTTCTGGGTCACAACTCAAGAGACATGATGGAAAATAGGTTCATTGTGGGGGGATGCATGAGGTTGGTTGAGTTTGCCTCAAAATGTATTTTTACAGGCTGCACAGGCACATGCCAACCTCTTTGGACTTATACAGCAAAGTACAAACAAACTGATTTTCTACAGTGGACCAAAAATGTAGATATGGAAGAGAAAAAAAAAATCTCACTCTGTACCAGCCAGTTGCATTTAACCAGAGCTTATAAAAAGTTTGAAGGTTAGCGTTATGCTTTTGGTAAAAACTCATATAAGAAACAAGATGTTTTTTTTTTGAGTTTCAAGAGTAGAACGACTGTTTGACAGTAGGTCAGGCAGGGAGACAGGGCAGGAGCTAAATACAGCACTCTCATTAATCTGCCAATGATGCCAAGACTGATGGTACCTGTCCCTTGCTATCCACACACAGACACTTCAGAGACATTCATTGCACTTCTGTGACACACAGCAACACACCGAAAGAAGCATCTGTACTTGTGCACACGTACAGAAAAGACCCGATAAATGTTTCTGTGTTTGTGTGGGTAAGTGAGGGAGGGAAGAGGGATTACACTCCATTTCTCCTCGCAGAGATGCAGTGAAACCATTATTTGTTTTAAGTATCGCAATTTGATTAATAAGTCGTTAGCTCACATTCATTTTGTTCAAGATTCGAGCTCTTTAGTTACCATTAATCACAACAACACAATGGGGAGATTCTGCTCAGCATTGAATGAGTAAGAGCTTCATTATAGCTTGCTTTTTGTCAAGTGCGTGAGTGCATGTGTGTGTGTCAGAGAGACAGAGATTGACTCCGGGTTCATGTGCAAGAGGCTCTGTTCCTGCTTGTGTTTACTCTCTAGCGTTTGTGTGTGTGTCTGTGTGTGTGTGTGTGTGTGTGTGTGTGTGTGTGTGCATGTATGCGCACTTGAACGTGCATGTGTGGTGTGGCTGACTCAAACACAGAAAGATGGATAATAAATTGGTGCATCCCTCTACTCAGTCACCCCCATGCTCTGTCAGCTGCCATAGGGTTTTCTGTTGCAGACAATGTTCCAGCAGCAAGCGACCCAATCCATCTCTCAAAAGGTGTCACCAAGCCAGTGTGAAAAACACACAAAAACACGCAAACCCCAACAACATCCAATATCATGCACCAACCCTATGACAACTCACTAATTAATTATTTGTCTTGATGGCTATCATGATTAGGATGTATTCATTTGCTCGTGATTAGGGATCTCTAATCACAGAGGTTAATAGGGTTCTCATTCACTCACCTACTTTGTTTCACTTGCAGCATTTAAGAAAGTTTCCTATTAACCATGTGGCCTCATCCCTCTCTGGTGTAATACACCTTTCAAATTATGCATCAACCTTTCCCACCTCCCTCAAAAGAGGCGCCTTGACAACAACAACATTTGACACATGGTAAATTGTTTTTTGTATCCCAGAACACGTTATCATGGTCTAGTCGACTGGAGAGTTTCATAAAGTAGTTTTCTGGCTACAAAAGCAACATTTAGGAGGTGGACGTGTTAATGAGGAAAAACAAAACTAGCCTGACAGCTCATCACTTTACGTCAGCTCCTAGTGACAGCCTATCCCACTCGTTCTCGTCTAGTTGTTTGTTTCACAGGGACACCATCAAAATGCAACCCTCCGTCTCCTCCGACCTGTCTTTTTCTCTCCTCCCTGGCCTGTGACAGATAGTTCAGTGCAATCTATCAACCTCAGCAAGGGCCGGTCCTTCGTAGAGGCACGTATGGACAGAAGG